GCTCTCAAAAGGGAGGGCGGAGCCTAGGAGCTTCGGCAAGACACTAGAACGCGGGTGGCTGTTGGAGGACGGGCTTCTCCACCCAAGGGCCCCCCACACCCCTGCTGTTAACCTGATCTCCAAGAGGGCTAGAGGACCTGCCTTCTACCCGCCTCCCCGGGCAGACTCTCCACCCCCCAGTACAGGAGAGGGGACGGTACCTTCTAAGTACTTCCTGGAATCCAGCAGGAGAGACGGCCGGTTCTCAACCCAAGCGTCCTCTGTGCCGGAGAGTGTGTCAGGCGTGGGCAGCCCTGAGGTGTCTTTTTGGCCTGGGACAGGCTCGTCTGAGCAAGGTGCTGGGAAGGATAAAGCAGGAGGCACTTCTAGGAGTTCAGAGCAAGGAGAAGGCACCTCCTCCACCGCGACTTCGGGAGAGGCAGGCCCGCCTGGCGCAAGAGGAGCGGCTGCAGGGGTGGAGCACGGCTCTGGTGGCGGCGGAGACTCGGGAGGCGGCGGAGACTCCTCGGCCAGGGATGCTGCCGAGGGCTCAGGAGAAGGAGAGGAACTCGGCGTCAACGGACTGGTTGCTTCTACGGCTGGCGGAGCCTCATTCGCTCTGCCGCCTTCGCTACCTGCGCTTGGCAGATCGTCCTGGTCTTCTCGATGTGGCAGACTCTGCAGGTGTCCTGCGCAGCTGGCCTCCGGCTCGGCACCATCTACACCTGCCTCCCCAGGGGAAATCCCCGGCTCTGCAGGCTCCTCCGGGCTCCGAGAGCTCTCATCCTCATCTTTGGCAGGCTGGGCTGCCTCTTCCTCCGAGGGCCCTTCGCTGTGCAAGCCTGAGTCTTCATCTGCAAAATCCAGGTCCTCCAGCACAGGGCTCACGGACTCGCGGATGTCCGGGGAGGGAGGCCGTGGCACAGGGCTCACGGACTCGCGGATGTCCGGGGAGGGAGGCCGTGGCACAGGGCTCACGGACTCGCGGATGTCCGGGGAGGGAGGCCGTGGCACAGGGCTCACGGACTCGCGGATGTCCGGGGAGGGAGGCCGTGGCACAGGGCTCACGGACTCGCGGATGTCCGGGGAGGGAGGCCGTGGCACAGGGCTCACGGACTCGCGGATGTCCGGGGAGGGAGGCCGTGGCACAGGGCTCACGGACTCGCGGATGTCCGGGGAGGGAGGCCGTGGCACAGGGCTCACGGACTCGCGGATGTCCGGGGAGGGAGGCCGTGGCACAGGGCTCACGGACTCGCGGATGTCCGGGGAGGGAGGCCGTGGCACAGGGCTCACGGACTCGCGGATGTCCGGGGAGGGAGGCCGTGGCACAGGGCTCACGGACTCGCGGATCCTCTTGTGCTTCGCTGGCCTCCCAGGAGTCGGGGGTGGTCTCTCCGGAGGAGCTCTCCCAGATTCGCTCCTTGAGGCTGGCAAGGACACTTTGTGCTTCGGTCACCAGCGGGCTGCCCGTGGGACACGGAGGCCCCGCTCGGAGCTGGGAGGCCTGGAGGTTCCCGAAGGAGCCTTGTAACATGGCGGCGATTTGCTGCTGCTCGCGGGAGGCTGCTGGCAGGCCGGCCACCGTCTCCGCCAAGGCACCAGATGGCTCACGCAGTCCCAGGCTGGCCGACGGGCCTTCTGCGGCCGCAGCTTTGGATTCCATGGAGTCAGGGCCCTCTGCTTCCAGGTGGCCATGGGGCCGGCGATCCCCAGCCTCCGCAGGGGGCTGGCCCACGTAGATCTCCGCCTCGGACGCAGTGAAGAGCGGCTGCTGGTCGCCGGGCGCCGGCAGGGGGGCTCTTCGCCTGGCTCGCTCCGAGCGAGCAGCACGTGGTGCTTCGTGGAGGGACGGATAGTGCACACACACAGCCAGGCACTGCCCAGGAGGCTTGGGGGCCGGGCTGTGCTCAGGGGAAGGGCCCCGCACAAGCGACGCTGGAGAGACGCTGCCGGGGTGGGAATATTGCGGGTGTGGGACTGCCTCCTTCAGGCCCACTTCCTGCCGGGTCCGCGGGCTCTCTGCTTGCTCAGGAGCAGCCTGCTCCCTTCCGAAACCCTCCAGGGCGGGATCAGCCAGCCTGAGGACCTCTCCCAGGGTCTCCGCAGAGGCTGCGAAGCTGCTGGGAGTGAAGGACTCGGAGGCGGCCGGTGGCTCCGGAGAGGACTCTCTGGAGGAAGCCATCTCGGCAGGTTCCTCCTGCGCAGAGGCCGCAGGGCTGTCAAAACCAGGCGAAGGGCTGAGTGCTGCAGGGCCTGGCGGCCAGCTTCCTCCCAGGTCATCGCCGGCCCAAGCGGCCTCCGCGCTCTCCTCCAGCTCCACGGCCTTCTTGCCCTGGGGCAGGGGAGTTCCTGGCCGATCCTCCTCGGGCTGAGCCGCCTCTTCGGTGCGGCTGGGGCCTCCCTTCGCAGTGGGCACCACGGCCCCGCGCGTCT